CACCTTGGACATTGTATCTTGGCTTCCAGGGCAGACCATTCAGCCTCCTACTGCGGACTTGCTCGGGACTCTGCAGTGAGCTCCAGGCCTTCAGCTGGGTCCTCAGACCTCCAGCATGTAGACAGCCCTGCTGCACCCCTGCCTCTGCCAGCAGCCATTGTAAGCCTGTCTTGCGAATCCTTATATATCTGTATGTCTTGCATTTAATCTGTTTCCCTGTGAGTGCTAATCGATGCACCGTGTGGTCCCTCCGCATGTGCTCCTGCCATTGTGAAGTCCTTGCCAGAGCTGAAGAGAAGCCAGCACTGCTCCTGCACTTCCAGAACTGTGAGGCAAATAAACTTCCATTCCTTACAAATTCCCCAGCTTCGGGCACTCTGACACAGGAATGATTAACACTGTAATAGGCCGCCTCCATTGGAAGTCTCTCCAGACTCAGCCCCCAGAAATGCTCCCCTCTGCTGTTCCCCAGAACGGCCTCCTTGCCTTATTAGGGACCCTCATGAACCATTCGAAGAACTCCCAAACCCCACATCATCATATTTTTTTAATGATCCTTTCTGAAACTCTCCTAGTGTGTTTGTTTACCGGGCTAGAACTTTCCTGAGGGCTGGATCTAGGTCTGTCTGGTTACTGCTAGGTGCGAGAGAGACTCGGGAAAGATTTGTTGCATGAATGAACAAGTGCATGGTGGAACAAAGCCTCCCTGCTTCAAGCTGGTGCCACTGAGTGGGTAAATGAGGAGGGTGTCATCTTACGCAACAGAGCAAAAACCATCTCCTCCTTCCCCCTCCCAAGCCCCCGTGTCACCCTCTGGGCTGCATCCTTGTATCCTCCGGGCTGCGAAGCCCTCCCCACTGCCTGCCCAGCTAAATAAGTCTCTAATCTTAGATAATCACTGCCCTTAGGGTCCCATTTCAGTTCTGTATTTGTAATTTAGAGCTGCCTGGGAACCTTTCACATGGCACACATTTCCAGTGGGGGCTTTCTCCAGGCCGGGGACATCGTGGCTGCCCCCTGCGAGGTTGCAGATGGCTTCTGGGCACCCAGGCAGGGACAGCAAGAGAGCCAGGCTCTTCCCACATCCCTGGAGCTGGCACAAAAGCCTCCGGAGGGAAGGTTCACGGTGGCCAGAGAGAGGGAGTGGCCTGTGGGGAGGGGCTGGGGCCAACTGGAATGTAATTAGTAATCAGGCCAAAAGCAGAAGGCAAGGCGTGTGGAGGAGGTTTAGAGGATGCTGTGGGCGGGGACAGCTTTCCTGCCTTCCAAAAGCCCAGAGACCAGTGCTGTCACTGTAGGTGAGTGAGGCACAGGAGTCCCTGAAGCAGGGAGAGAGTTCTTGGCTAGTGGGCGGGAGGAGCAAGCATCCAAGCTCCCTAAGCCAGAGCATCCTCCCCACAAATCCGAAGCTTCTGGGCAGCTGTGGTGGGAACCGCCCGTGTTGGGGACAGGCGGGTCCCCAGGCACTTGGGACCTGCCCTGCACAAAGCCCTCTCTGCTGAAAAAATATACATATATCAGCAAACAAAAAAGAAATCTGTTTAAACTTAAAAATGCAAAAAGAGGCAGTTAGCTCCCGTCATTAAATGTTTCATAAAGCAACAGCAAAATGAAAAAATAAAAAACTCCCGGAGAATTGAGAGGCCAAAAATATTAATATATGGAACACAGAGAATCTGCCGCACACTGTGAATATTTTCTTAGTTTTCCACGGATCACCAGAGAGCAACCCCATCACCCTTCCTGTTTGAAATCTATACTGGAGAACAATTTCACCAAGGGAAAAATAAAAAGTATTTGATGAAGAGATTGTCTGCCAGAGACCTGTGAATTTTCCGCGTCAAATGTCAGAGGGAAGGCGTCTGGGCCCTTAGGAGCAGAACAAAAGGAAGGGTGCAGAAATCAAAGCTGAGCCTGCAGGGGTGCGGGTGAGGAAGTCCGAGGACTCCGGGCAGGCAAAGGAGGACCAGTGCGGTGAATTAACAAGGAACTTCGCAGAAGCAGAGCAGCAGGAATTGTGTCCCTGGACAGTCAGATGTCCTCAACGTCCCGTGGATGGACTTGCTAACTCCTGGCCGCCTGCAGGCCAGAGAAGGAAGCCAGACACTCGGAAGGGAAGGCTGGGAGACCACGGACTGCAGGGCCAGGTGCCTGCCACTTCGAGGACTGGTCGAGTCCCTGGCCAACTGGGCAGAATAAAGTATCAGGGGACCAGAGGGTGCGTCTTTCCGAGTCCCTACATGTTCTGTCCTCTGTGGACATGTTCTGCACGTCCGGGAAGCAGTGCAGTGACCTGCAGCAGGCCCTGCTCCTTCGCCAAGGCCACCACGGTGGGGAAGCTCAGCCTCTCACAGGTGCGGACCTGAGCGTCTTCCCCGACTCTTCTTTGCCGGGTAGATGCACAGCCAAGCGCAGTGCTGACCGTCTCAGGAGAGAGGAGCCCTGGGAGGCTGGGAGAGAAGGACCGGGAATGTCCAGTCCCTCTTTCTTAGGGCGTCTTGGCTGAAGAAGAGAGCTCGGCCTCGGAGGCCAAGGAAAGGGTGGCTCTGGCTCCTGTCGATGCTGACCATAGAAGGAACCAGCCAGCAGCTGTCCACAGCCTCTTCTTCACCGCTGACATCCTGGAGGAAGGAGACCCGGCTCTGTGCTGGCCCTCATTTCCACCTCGCACACCAAGCCCAAGCCCTCAGGACTAGGGCTGAAGCAGCCGCGTGAGCAGACAGCGGTGTGGCGTGAGCAGACAGCGGTGTGGTCCCCACAAGGGGCACCCAGCACCACACGGTACTCCCAGAGGGTGCTCCGGCAGCTCTGAGATCCCTGAAAGTTGGTGACAGGATCATTGTCTCTTATGGAGAGTACAGGCAACTGAGGTCACTCACAACAGCATCAGGACCTGAGTGCCCCTCAGATCCCCACAGCTGCACACTTCACCACAGAGGCTGTCCCCACTTCTGGTCCTAAATGCAACCCCCAAAATATCCCGTGCTGATGTCTCTGAGGACGTAGACAGGAGAGACACAGCCATGCATCATCCGTCAGAGCCAGCTCACTCAGCACCTCCTCCGTACTCCTCAGTCTCCTGTGGGGTTCACCAGAATCACTTCACAAACTGGCCACATGACTGTCTCACTGCGTTGACACCTCTGTCCCTGCTAGACGCACTCTGGAAGGCAAAGGTCTCACCCCTTTCCTTCCCAGAGAACCCCCAGCTGTGCCAGCCCCCTGTGTGGTCCTCTGACACCCCATGCTGGCCCCTTCTTCACCCGAATCATGCCCGCCCAAATGTCTCTTCTAGAGTCCTTCCCCTGCCTCTCTGCCACCGGGAGTGCCACCCCCTGATTTCACTTTCTGCACAGAGCTATTCCTCTCTCCCTGGCGTCGTGTCTCAAATGCATTTGCTCCATTATCTGTCCCCTGCTCTGGGTGGCAGGTCCCTGTCACTCCTGCTGTGCTCCGTGCCTAGCACTTAACTGGCATCAGACACATTGAGGCACCCAACAAGCACCTGCAGAATGGATGACCCTCAGTGTCGGCAGAGGCAGACCTCCAGGAAGTAGCTTTATTCTCAATTAATCACTTTAACAGAAATGTCTTAGTAGCCTCCCCCAAGGGGACAGAATTTGTCCTCACTGCATGATGGATCTTTCCCTCTTCCTGGCAACCCCTTTCTTTCCTCTCAGCATGTCTTGCTTTCTGTCACAGGGATGGTGACTTCAGAGACAAGGCCAAGAACAAAAGCCCAGCCCACCTGGAGAAGAGCCCACCCGCCAGCCGTCGGACCCAGCCCACCAGCTTTGCGGTCTGCTGATCCGTGGACGCGGACTAAGTCATTAATTGACTGCTGATTGATCCAGCCCCTGCCTGGCCCGCCACTGGTCTATCACAGTGGGCAGCTGGGAGGGCTCAGACTTGGGCTTTTGCCAGGCCCACAGAAAACCTAAGAAGAGCAGCTCACAGACCGGCATGAGAGTTGTCCCCAGGAGACACTGTCCCCAGCTGAGCCTCTGTGGTTACCACAGCCTGCAGATGGGGAGGGGACAGGGGATCGGGCCCAGGGGAGTCTGCACATCTGAGCTATGGAAAACCCACCTCTGGGCGCAGGGCCTTGGTAGTGATCTGGGAGGGGACTGACCAAGGTGCATGGTCAGTGTTCACTCGGCCACTGAGGACCTGACACCTGCACATCTCATGGCCACTTGGCCACACAACTGCCTCTGTTCTGTGCAGGTGACCCCCTTGCTGATACCTCAGGACCACTTTCTGGTCCTAGACCCAGGCTGCTGTCCTCCAAGGGCCAAGCGCCACACCTCAGTCACTGCCATGGGCATGAAAGACGCAATGGCGGGGTTCTGGGGTCCGGGATGAGACTGAGAGTGGTGTCGCTGGGGAGTGGCTAGGGAGAGTGGATATTGGCAGAAAGGCGGGACTCGGTCTCCAAAAGACTTGTGCAGGGCTTTCCCCCACGGACAGCGGAAGGCGACACCGTGCAGGAGTAGACTGAGGGTCTCAGCCACAGCCTGGGGACCCTGGGAAGTGACCCGGAGCCTGGGCAGCAGGCACGAGGAAGGCATCCGGATGATTCCCCCCAAAGCAGCGGCCGGAGTGCTGTCCACACAGAGGCGGAGACAGGGCAGGGTGTCGAGGGCAGCCGCAGCCACTGAGGGCGGCTGGAAATCTCCCGTGGCAGTGTCTGGGAGGTGATGGTGCTCTTTGCCCCACCTCACTAAGCTTTGTGCACTCAGGAATTTGCATGCTCGATGACATACCCCACTTCCACAACAGGTTTAAGTCATAAAAGTGAGCAGAGGTGTCAATGTCTCCGTCTCCCTCGGAGGGACAGCTGGGCAGGTGATGGACTAAAGACTCAGGGTGGTCAGAGGAAGCCAGGCCCACCACAGGCTTCCCCAGGCTTCTCCGACCAGCCAGAGCCTAGGGGCCCCACCCCCTCCAGGTGCACCCCTGCAGCTGCCTCAGTCTCACGTTGCCTAGCAACCGGTCTCCCTAGCTACACAAGACGCTGAGCTCAGACCCCAGCGTGTTAGGTGTAAGGAGACCCCGGCCCCATGGCAGGGAAAATGATTAGCACCGAGGCGGCCCAGCGTATGAACTTCGTAGCCCAGGACGAGATCTGGTAAGGCCCCAGCTTCTCTAACCCTGAGGGGTAGGCCGTGCTCGCCTGGGTTTACACACCCGGCAGCCTCAGTGTCCCCACCAAGTCCAGGAGACAGTCAGCCTCTGGGTGCCACAGGGGCTCTCCATGGACAGTTAAGAACCTCCAGGAAAGGGGGGGGGAGCCAAGTGACCTCGAATCTTTCTCTCCTCCCTCCAATCCCCCCCAAGGCTGGAGAACTTTAGCAACAATCTCCATAAGGCCGCATAAAGTGTTCTCTTCTCCAGATTCACCAAATTTTTAAAACACTAATATTTGTTCAATTTGAATTTTGTCTCTCCATTTTCCTGGACTTTTAAATTATAACAAATTTTAAATTTAAAAATAGAGCCATTTCCCTAAAAGCATTATATTCAGCAACATTTGTAATGGATGTTCTTAATTGGCATTCTGTTGGGTTGCTGAATATTAGTTCAGTCTTTTGAAGTTTTAACCAACATGAGAAGTCACTAATTTAGATGCAAGTTAAGTTGTAGTAACAACTCAGTATGATTGCTTAGCTTACTGCAATTATCCTATTTAATATGTCTGTGATTTTATCACTTCCTCGTAACACCTTGATTAGCCCCTTTTTATTTGTGTTTAAATTGACTGGCTCACTTAATACATTTATTTTTATAGCAAACTTTACATCACCCTCATAAATGGAAAGCCATCATTTGTCAGAGAATATCCAATTTGATCTTTAAAAAAAAAATCTTTATCTTCATCTAAGTCCATAGCAACATCTGTTCCCTCTTCCTGAATGCCCTTTCCTCCCTTCTCCACCAGAACTCCTATAGATCCTCAAAATCCCAAGTCAGATGGTCTAACCTCATGAACGGGGCTGTAAAGCTTTCGACCTCAGTGTCCGATGTCCACCATGGCTACTGAGCACTCGAAATGTAACTGATCCAAATTGAGACTAGCTCTAAATGTAAAAGACACAACAGATTTCCAAGATTCATACAAAAGCAGCATTGTTAAAGCTAATGTCACTTCTTTTGGGTAGGGCTGCTAGAAAATGTGTAATTACATGTGCAACTCACACTTCTTGCATCTCTGTTAGAAGACAGACTCCTCTTCAGTGCCCAGGACAAAGAGCTTGACGGGAGGCTCCAAAACTGCCCAGGCGGGGAGGGCTGAGATCTTTGCTGATACCAAAATAGGAGGATCGTGAACCATCGAGATGGCTAAATGCCATCTGTGACCTCTGTGAGCCGAAGCACAGCAATGGGTCAGCACCGGCTGACGGGCAGTTACACAGAAGGGAGGCGTCGGCAGGGTCAAGTGCAGGCAGGGCGGGAGGCACCTGGGTGCAGGCAGGGGAGGGCCTGGGTGCCGAGGTGCAGCTGCTGCTCCTTAGCATCCGAGGGCCAGGGGTGTACAGAATCACGGGGGTCATAGGGACTCCAAAATCAGCGTCAAGTGCCACCTACTACAGAGTTGGCCCCTTGGGCGGAACCAGCCGCCATCTGGTCTGCCAGGGTACTTCCCGGAGGTCACGGCCACCGGCATGCTCCGGCCTCAGCCCAGAGGCTCCTGCCTGGTGGGAGGCGCTCTGCACCCCTCAGCCCCACCACCACCCCACCGGCTGCTCTCTGGCTCCCAGCTCCACCGTGGCAGAGGCGCCCCCCTCATCCCATCGCTGCCGTGCTGTGAGGGAAGAACATCAAACTTCCTGTGCTTTGACAGTTTTTAGCTCCAGCCATTTTCAGATGTCGCCCAGCACTGGGGACTTTCCTTTTCAGGAGATACCGCCTCAAGGCCGAATCCGAGGCACGGAAAAACTGGGCCCAGAACTGGGGATTTTTGACAACCCCGTTGGAAGAGGTAAATAGAACTTTTATGAGCTCCACATCTGTCATGTCGGTGGTTTGGGACAATCCGTGTGTCGTCTGCCAGAATGAGACGAAGAATGTGTGGTAACTGAGGGTCATTCTGGAGCCAGGAGCTCCTTTGCTTTCTCACAAGTGACCAAGCACCTGCCGCGGGGCCAGCGCATGTCCAGGGCTCGCGCACAGCCAGCCTCGTTCATCCGAGGGACAACTACAACTGTGCCCACGTTAGAGGTCAGGGGAAGGAGCTCAGAAACTGCAGACACACACAGCTACTGGAGGGCATGCACAGAGAGAATCTGGGCAGCCTGGTACCAGGGCCCCCCGACTCGGACCTCCGTCTGTGAAATGGGGTGGCCGGCCCACCTGCCTAGCTGCATAACTGCATAGACAGGGAGGTTAAGAGGTGTGAGGCTGGGAGACTTGCGAAGGGCTCTTGGGAAGATACAATGGGTACAAATTAAAGCAGGGTCCAGGTGGCCAAGTGAGCCTTCTGCACCTAGAGTAGCATCTCCAATTTAGGAAGCCACTGTACAGGCTGGACTGTTGGAGTGGGTTTTCATGGGGTCGAGTCCCAAACTATCCCCTGCCCCAGCTGCAAGGAAGCCACACCCTCTGCAGAAACCCTGGCTGATTCAGAGTGTTCGAGATTCAAGGTGGCAGATGCTCCATCCATAATCCACCCCGCCTCGCTAACCTTGAAAGTATGCCGTTCTTAATGAGTTTTTTTAATTCTTAGAGAGTTACACAATTTAAAATTGTACGTATAAAATGAGGCCTTATTAATATTCCTTATATGTAATTAAATCGGGTTTTCAAAGAGTTCAAAATCTCTTTAAAAATTCAAAGGAGGGGGAAGGGGGCTCTCTCTTTTATGATTGGAAAGATCAATCCTGGAGGGGACTAGCATGTTTTAATCTGAGTCCATAACCTGTAGAGTCTCCTCGAGTCACCACACAGGAGACATAAATTAGCAGGCTCAGCGAGCCACAGGGGGTGGCTGTCAGCCGTGGCCTCGGGCCGAGTCGGCTACAGGATGGCGCTTCCAGCTGTGTCATCGGGACCTAATGTTCTGAGCCCCGCTTTTGACTCCACCCAGTGGGACCTTTGCGGGGGATGCTGAGGGGACTGCGTCCCATCTCTGCATTCTGCCTCAGTTGATCCAGGGTGAAGAACCTCGCACCCTAAAGCCAAAACTTGAGCTTCCTGAGCACTTCCACATCCGGCCCGTGACCCCCGTGGAGAAATACATCAAGGTTAGAAAAGCCGTATTTTAACTCTCATTTTCCTCAGAAATGAACCCCATCAACATCTGGAATCCTAGCCAGGTGTGGTGGTGCACACCTGCAATCCCAGCGCCCGGGAGGCTGAGGCAAAAGGATCCTACTGAGCTCAAGGTAGCCTGGCTGCACACAGAAAGCCTGCCTCAAAAAAAAAAAAATCCCCCCAAACCCGTAAGAACCCTAAAAGGAGCAGCACACAGAGTCCTGAGTCCAAGCCCTTTCCAAGCAGTGGCCTCCTGCTCTGCAGTCAGAGGGAGGCCGAGACGGGGCGGAGGGCATCCACCCACTCTCACAGCCCTGGGCTTCTGCTGACCGGCTCTGTGTGTCGGCAGGTGGCTGGACCCTTCTGTGTCTCCGCGTGCTCCTGGCACCATCACTTAGTTTGTGGAGCACCTGCCTTGGTGGGTGATGCCAGGCCCTGAGAGGTGGCATCTGAGGTGCTGATGACTGTGGCTATCACCACCACCCAGGTGCTGGGGTCGGGAAAAAACTAACATGCAAGAGTGTGAGACCACAGCCTGCACATCCGGGCTGGGTAACGAACAGCGGGTGAGAAAATCCACAGAACCGGCACACACGGTGCTGGGTGCCACGGAGGAGAGGGCAAGTGAGGTGCTGGAGAACAGACGGCAGCACCCACCATGCCAGCACTGAAGGGTGCCAAGGGACCGGCTCTAGGAAAAGCATTCCAGGTAGAGGCATCAGCACATCCAAAAGTCCTGCAGTGGAGCGAAAGCTGGCACATTTCAGGAGTGGCCAGGGACAGAGCTGTCGCCGGAGCTTAGCAAGCTCCAGGATGGCGGGGGTCAGTCAGGGCGGAGAAAGGATGCAAGTGGGGCGCAGAAGATGGGGCAGAGACCTCGGGGGAGGAGCTAGGGCTCCCGTCTGTCTGCAGTGACGGACGGTTCTGAGCAGGGCTGCAGGGCAGAGCGAGCGTCTGCTGGACGGCCACTCTGGTTGCCAAGTAGAAAACCAATGAAAGGGTTAAGAGGTCAGAAATGACCAGGCACCTCCACGGAAGACCGCTGTCCCCCAGAGGCACACTCAGCCAGATGCCTCTGGACACCGTCCAGCTTTCTATGGCCCAGGGCTTCTTTTCACGAGGCTGACACTGGGCTCTGGGTTCTGCCTCTGCTGGCTGTGCACGCGGAAGGTTCAAGGTGATGATGGAGAGGACCGTGCTCGTGCAGCTCCGTGGGTCTCCTCTCCCCGACCTGTCCTGGAGTCCAAGTGTGAGGGGGCAGCACATGGGGAGCACTCGGCCCCTGGGGATCTCTGAGTGGGAGAAAGGAGAAGGGGAGGGAAGGGAGAAGGAACAGTAAGGGGGGACTTGGCTGAGAGATGTGGGGGTTCCTCTCCCCCAATTATAAGGCAATGTAAGAGTCATAGGTTGCTTTAAAAGCACTTAATGCTGGGCACGGTGGCACACGCCAATTATGCTAGCAGTCCGGGAAGCTGAGATGACAGCACCACAGTTCCAGGCCTGGGTAACTTAGCAACCTGGAGACCCCGTCTCTAAACAAAAGTTTAAAAATGTGCTAGAGATGTAGCTCAGTGTGAAGGCCCCGGGTTCATCTTTATTAAAAAAAAAAAATTGTGTGTGCGTGCATGTGTGTAAAGGTAACTAACTAAACACCCACATGCACTGCACTCCTACCCATGGTGGACATTCTGGGATGCTCTTTCTGGGGGTCCCTAGGCCCCTATGAGAGTGACCCCCACATGAGCACTAGCTCTAAAGTAGGAGCGCTCAGTTGCTCACTGTCTTAGTTACTTTTCTCATTGCTGAGACAAAACACTCAACACCCAAAGCTAAAGCAGGAAAGGGTTATTTAGCTCACGGTTTGTGGATTTTTCAGCCCATAATTAGCTGGCTCCAAAGCAGGCCGGCTGCACAGGAAAGAGCAATTCATGGCGGGCAGAAAACAGCCAGAGCAATGAGACAGAGAGAGAGAGACAGACAGCACCTTCCCTGCAGGAACAGGCTACAGAAGCCTGTTTCAGTTTAGTTTTTTAATTCAATTCAATTGCTTTGTGTTCCTGTAGTCTCCACAGTTTAAAGTGCGTGTCTGTGTGTGTGTGTGTGTGTGTGTGTGTGTGTGTGTGTGTGTGACAGCCTTCAAATTAAAACAAAGTTTAAAGGCAAGTGTGGTGGTACACTCCTGTAATCCCAGCACTTGGGAGGCTGAGGCAGGAGAATCAATGTAAGCTTAAGACCAGCCTGGGCTACAAAGTGAGCTCAAAGCCAGCCTGAACTGCATCAAAAAATAAGTAAATAAATAAAGCATAATTTAAGCTACCGGAATACCATCCCATAATATTATCGAGTATTTTACAGAAGACTCCGCTGTGGCCCAGTGACAAACTTCCCTGCATTTCCACCCAGGTCCTGCCGTCGCCCCCGGTCCCGCAGACCACGCAGGGCTTCATCGGCTGGCGCTCGGCGGTGCAGGGCCTCAACAAGTGCCTGGAGCATGACAGCGCCATCCGCAGCTGCAAAGGCACCTACGCCCGGAGCCTGGGCTGGCCCGAGCAGGGCGTGCACTGAGCCTGAGCCTGGGCCTGGCCAGGAGCAGACCCAGGCTGCGGAATGAGGAAGAAGCCCACCCAAAGCTCTGAGGTCCCTGCAGCTTCTCCCAGGGGTGCAGCACAGAACACAAAGTCAGCTGCAAGCCACCCGGCTCCAGCCTTCCAAAGGTCCACGGAATGAATACAGCCAATAGAATCCCTGGTACTGTTTGCTTTCCAATACCTTGGGAATTTCAAAGTATTGAATGGTGGCGTTGTTGTGTTGTTGTTGTGTTGTCATTGCTTGTTTTGAAACGGTCTTGTTCCGTAGCCCATGTTGGCCTCGAGTTCACAGTGTTCCTCCTGCCTCGGCCTCCAGAGTACTGGGATTACAGGTGTGCATCACCACACCCAGCTTGAATGGGTTTGATTTAAGTTTGGAAGTATTTGTCTAAGTCTCTGTTATTCAGCACTGTAGACTGAGCCCTGCTCATGCTGTGCACCCCCAGTGTCCCCTCTTTGCTGGCACATTTGCAGGAAGGCAGATGTTCCAAGGGCAAGAGTGAGCCCAAGATTTGCTGTCAAGGGTAGAGTTCCAGAAAGGCTTCCCCAGGGAACTGAGACCGCCACCCTCCTGGCCTGCCCACGGCTCCCACCCTGGCATAGACAGGGCCAGGTGTTCTTAAGAGCAACTCCTTGGTTAGCATTTTATACCTCTCAGAGCCAGGTTCGTGGCCTTGGGGACAGGCCACCTGTCAAAACACTTCTCCTGGATGCATCTCTGCCTCTCAGCCTCCCTCTCCCAGCCCGAGGGTGAGCAACTCAGGTTTTCACGGGACTCCCGGCCTGCAAGAGCCACAGAGAAACAGCTGTTCTAGACTCTAGTCATTATCTCTGACAAAGATGACCATGCTCATCACCTGCCACAGCTCCTTAGGTCTGAGAAAACAGAGCATTATGGGTTGCATAGTGTCCCCCAAAAGACTTGAAGTCCTGTCCTCCAGACTTTGTGAACTGACTGTGATAGTTAATGGTGACATCAACAGGAATGGATTCAGAAGTGCCCAGTACATCAATGTAGGCTGCACGCTGAGGAGGATCTGGGTAGCACCCACGGCAGGCTGATATCTTGGAATAAAAAAGGTTAAAAGAAGGGAGTCCACCCATTTTGCTTCTACAGAGGAGCTGCTGTTTTCACCACGTCCTTTGGTGGTTTGTCTCCAGTTCCTCAGGCTTCCACTGTGGACTCTTCAGCCCGCGTGCAGACCCTTTGCCTTCCCAACACACTGGACGCTGCAGAAAGCTCCACAACTTAAGAGTTTCAGCTGCATCCTCCAGCCCTCCAACACACAGGCAGCCATTTTCCATTCTTCCTCCCCTGACTCCACAGACGGCCATCTTAAGCCGATTTTGTAAACCCTTTAAGCATATATATACTTTTATATATTAAGTCTGTTCCTCTAGTGAACCCTAACTGATATGATGACCTTATCTAGTAATAAGGACATTGCAGGTCTGACTAATTAAAGTGAGATGAGTTTACTCTGGGCTTTTGATCCAGCATGACTGGTACCCTTAGAAGCAAAGGAGGAAGACACACACACAGGAGGACACAGCTGTGCGATCACAGAGGCAGAAATCCGAGTGACACATCTATAAGCCCAGGAATGCTAAAAATTGCCGGCAACCTATCAGAGGTCAGGAAAAGCCAGAAAGGATCCCACCTTGCCTATTTCAGAGGGAACATGGTCCTGCCAACCTTGACTTCAGACTTCTGGAATCTTCCTGAGAGGCGAGGGAATACATTTAAGCCACCCAGTTTATGTTACTTAGGCGCAGCAGCCTAGAGAATAAACACAGCCTGACACATTTTGTCTCATCCTCTCTCTCCAGCACCCCTACACACCTAGAAAACACCCTCCTCCAACCATGTGTCTTTCATTTTTCCTGACCCAGGCTGCTCTGTGTGGGACCAGACCATGTGGCTCTTTTAATTCCAAAGATGTTTCCAGTAACTCAGATGTTTAGACCAATGTAGACTAAACAGTCGGATGCTTGGCCAGGCCCATCTCTATTTGATCCTAATGTTTTGGCATCTGGGCAACCACTGTGGGCAAGGCATTTGCCTTTGAAAGAATGTGGGTCTCTTCTTGTGATCAGACGTCCCTACCAGAGGAGGGCAAAGTGACTTAGACAGAGCAGTGGCTTGGCTGATCTCCACCTGAGCATCACAAGGGAAACAGATCCCCATGCAGGAGGAAGTTCACACCACGGTTGGAGAGGAACCTCCGATGGCTGGCATTTGTTTTCAGTGCTGGGGGTGGAACCCGGGAGTCACACATGCTAGGCAAGTGCTCTGCCACTGGGCTATATCCCCAGCCCTCTTTTGTTCTAATTCTCCATCACAGAATGTATCTCAGAGTCCTCGTCCATGTTATCTGTGTGACCACAATGGTTGGACATCAAAAGACCCATTCAGAGAAAAAACATGGACTCTGGATGGATCTGGACCCCAAAGCTAGACAGGATGCCAACAGATCCATCTAGAGACTCCTAAACATGCAGGACAGCTGACTTTAACTCTGATTCTAACTGACTAGTCTGTGTTGACTGACAGCTGACTTAGGGAGATTTGTCAGCAGACAATGTTGATGGGGATGACCAGAAGCTGACCGGGCCACACCCTAGGTGGACAGCTGAAACTTCAGCAAGATTGGACATCTTGACAGCAGGCAAAGATCTTTGGGGCTAACAGGCCCTTCCTTAGACCACACAGGAGCAGAGGAAGTGGGCCTGGCATACCTGAAGACACACCTGCCCTGTGGACAATCAGCACACAGATACATTTAATTATGTAGGAAACGGCAAGACACACCTGTATTTCCAGCAATCTAGGAGGCTGAGGCAGGAGGATCATGAATTGGAGCCCAGCCTAGGCAATTTGTTGAATTTGTGGGTCCCGATAGGTAAATAAAAATTGTTAAAGAGATACACATATAGCTTAGTGTGAAGACTCTCAGTTCAATTCTCAATATTGAAAAAGCCCCTAGGAAATAGTAATGATATGATGTTTTTATGCTGCCTTTTAATTTAAATGAAGCTTGCTTCAGATTTACACCCCCTAAAACTATTACTACATAGACACTGAAGCAGGAATTCCTTTCTCCCATTTTGCTCCATTCAATATTTAGCTGGCTAATTTTAAAATACACAACATTAAGTAACCTCCACGGATGCATTTTGTGTTTTCCTATTTTCTATAATTTATTCACCAACTAAGCGCACTCATGCTTTCATTCAAGGAGGTGGAACTGGGGCAGCTTTTTGTAGGTATCGGATTTCACCAGGCTGTGACCCTCCCCACTCACCCACTTTCTGGCTCCCCACATCCAGCCTTTTGGCCTGCTCGTAACAGAACCAAGCGTCCAGTCAATGGCCCAGCTGAGAATCGAAGTGGACAACACTCAACAATTCAATTACCCTGGGTGATTTCAGGCTTGACATTTCATCTATGGAAATCAACCTCTCTGTGGGTGTCCAAATGGGCCCATAAATGTCACTACACACTGTAAAATACCACAGCATTCCCAAGGTCAAGACGCAGCCAGTGAACCCGTACACCCAGTGCGGAAATCCATCACAGCAATGAACACCAGGCCGGCCTCGGTCAACAAGCACAGTCTCTGAAATGAGACAGAACGTAATTGGGTTGGGAATCCAGGCTGGATTCTGTCACAAGCACATTTCAGACCAAGACAAACTAGGAGCTTTCGAGTTTGAGTTCGAAGAAAATGACACAATCAAATAAAAAATCAGATGTGGAAACCGTGACAGTTGGTCTTAGCATTGAAACACAACTGTCCCTGTGGAGTCCTTGTTTCAAGTGTGCAAAGCCTGGCACCAGGTTGTCTGGAAATTTAGAAACTTGTGTACCTGAGGGACAGCGTGGGCTATAGATATTGTGTAACCTTGCTGGCAAGGTCTGGGCAGTCCCACAAAATTAAAACCATTAATATTTTTGCAGTGAAAGTTCGGAATAGCCACACTAACTGGAAGAAAGATTCCAAGGAGCTTATACATCAGCTTGGTTCTGGTTTTATCACCAAATAAGCACTGGTGTCAAACTGAAATAATATTTTGGGATTTGGGTGCATTTTGGGGCTTAGAGCTGACAAGAGGAAAATAAAAAATTGCCATCTGTTATGGTTTGGATTTAAAATGCCCTTCCCCAAAAGGCACATGTGCTCAGAGGTAGAACTTTCGTAAGGTAATGAGATGATAGGCCCCCCGCCTGGGCTGGGTCATCCCATCGATGGGCTCATGGCCGTATGGACGGTGGGCGGTGGGCCCAACGGGAGGAAGTACATCCTTGCCCCTGGCCTCTTCTGTCTCTGGCTCTCTTCCTTGATGCTATCAGTTGAGCAAATTTTCTTCACCACATCCTTGTACCTCGTACCCACGGGCCACATATTGAAACCGTGAGCCAAAATAAACCTTTTCTAAGTGTGTGTGTCAGGCATTTGGGCCCAGTAGTGGAAAGATGGGTAATCCCTCCAGCACAGAAAATATTGTAGTGGGGATTTTTCTGTATTTTCCTCTAGATATTGATATATAACAGGATTCTCCTGGTTGTAAGAGAAAGTCACCCGACCCAAATAGCCAACAGCGGAGCTTAAGAGGAAGCTCACTTCAGGCATGGTTTGATACAGGATTTAAGCCACATCACCAGGACCTAACATCTTTCCTTCCCAATTTCCTTCAGGTTGGGCCATCTGACTGTTTTCAGCACGGTCACAACAATAAGGATGTTTCTTAGATCACAAGGAGGAGGGCCAGAGAAACTGAGTGCCCACCTCTTCTAACTCTTCTAACTCAACAATGTTTCCAAAAGCCCATCTGCTTTGTCCCCTTCCTTGGCTTTCCCAGTCTTAGCTTCTTTTACATCTGAATTCCCTCAGGGGTGTAGGATGGGCACCATCCTTGGTAAGGGCCACAGGCTTTGTTGCTCACCTCTGGCAGGTAGCTTCCCGTGACCAGCTGGCAAATCTCTCCAGGGGTCTCACTGGCCAGACATGGACGAAGTCCTTATTTCCCAGTCAACCCTGGATTACCTCCTTTGGTCAGCCAGGCTGATCTCTTTCTGCATCACATTATGACTCCTGGTAGGAGAGCAGGAAAAGGGGGGTAGATGGTCAGTGTAATGTCCACTGTGACTTC